ATATTTGAATATTTGAAGATTATAGCTATCAGGGAAGCAAGTAATAGGGAGTTCCACTGATGGTAGGTGCGAGATAAGAAGCTGTTGAAATAGAAAAGATGGCTACATTTAGTCGTTTTGACAGTGAAATTCACGCGATTTCGGAACTAGTTCATCAGAGCAGTTGCCATGAAAGTACTTGGAGGGAAGCCACAGCACGTCTGTGAGATAGCGACTGCAGACAGGATACCAGATCAGGTCCAACCACGTTCCATATTTGTCTTTACAATTCTCTCAGCACAACATAATTCTCTTTATTAAAATTCTTTCAAAAATGAAATATACTTCTTGGAAACTTTATTTGAGGAAAAGCACTTTTTAATATGAAAGTGGATGTTTTTATGAGGTATTAACAGCTCAATTGACACACTGGTATTTGGGAAATTTTTATACACACAAAAAATTTTCTACTTGTTTTTTTTTTATTCTGCATCTTTATCCTTTATTAACAGAGTATCTCATATTTAGAAAACAAAATGCCATGTTCTTTTAAGATGTAGGTGATCTCGGCTCTCCATGAATTAATTTCCTTTATAATCTGTGTATTAACATAACTTTTTAGACTAATTAATAAACAAGGTTGGGTAATTTTGGTCAACATGTTGCATTATATATAAGACTAGCAGTAGAGCCCGGCATTGCCTGGGGATGTAGCAGTAAGAGATAGATCAAGTATCGACCATCATAAAGACTGAAAAATAAAATTGACAAAGATTATTGTTTAAGGTTGATGGACACACATGTCTTAATTAGTTTTTTTTTTTTTTTTTACAAATTGGTCAAACAAAAACATTGTTTTCAATCGTTATGAGTCTACTCATTGAATAGAATTTTATTATAAACAACTGTCTTGTAAATGGAATTTTTAAAGCATTCTGAATGTAAAAATAAAGAAAAAAGACAATAAAAAACACTACCTGTAAAAAAAAAAAAAAAAAGTGAATTTTTGTTGAAATCAGTTGAAAAATGTAGGAAATCCGATCCCATATATAAACGAAGACACACACACACAAACAACCTGGGTTTTATAATAAGTATAACTCGATATGAGTTGTCCCCCTTCCATTCTCATGATAGCGATGTCTCTTAATCGTGTTTTCAAATTGATTTTGTGCAAAAACAATTGTTTTTCCAATTTTTGGCGCTGTCAGAACCACCACCAGGTAATTTTACGTAGTCCTGTGAAGTTTTGTTGAAATCGGTTGAAAAATGTAGGAGATCCGATCCAATATATAAACATACAGACACACACACACACACAATCTGCATTTTATAATAAGTAAGATATACATTTCAGGATACTCTGTGATTTATCTCGATTCTGATAAACTAGTGAGCCTGAAGATATGAAAGCCAAAGGCAAAACGCTTTACCATTCTTCTGCTATTCAATGGTTCTGACATTTTACATTGAAATGCAGAAAATTTCAGTTAGATATTTAACATTTACCTTCAAGTCAGTTGCATGAAAAAAATTGTTTTTTCTTCAGGCATTACATAGATACTGTCTTTTATTTTCTTGCAGAATAGAATTACCATGAACATGCATATAGAATTCATTCTTGTGCATAGAATCTTGCTTTTTGTGAATTTCTGATTACCGTATATATTCGCGGATAGCTCACGCATTTTTTACCAAAAATTTCACAAAATATTAGGGGCCCGACCTATTCACTCAACATGAACGTAAAACAACACCCACCTTGTCATCATGATTTCTGAGAAATCAGAAATGATACCCTTAAACACTAAAGCTGCAGATTCAGTTCTGAATAAATTTTAAAACTGTAACTTTTTATATAAATAGATAAAAGCTTTCTTCAAAATGTAACCGTAACATTTTCTTCTGTAGTTATGTTTTTGTCAATTTGACTCGATAGAAAAATAATATGCAATAAATATAAAAATATTAGTGCAACAGTTACTTCCTTTTTTGTTTTTATGTGATGATTGACAAAATGTATTTTAATGGCAAAAGCATATTAATAATTGTAAGTTTTGAAATAAAGGTAGATATCTGATAATTCTTACGTTTAAAAAGGGCTGTGTAATTCCCCAGATTATGGTGCAACCTATCTGTGAGTCAACAGTAAATCATCAATTATTAAGCCTTAAAGTAGGGGTGCAACCTATCTAGTGGGGTCAACCTATCCGTGAGTATATACAGTATGCCTTATGTATTAAGTCACTCATGGCTCTTAAAGTCAATAAATTTCCTGACATATACAGTTAAAGAAAACTCCCATAGTAAATTCCCTAAAACTAAGGACTGCTGAGATTCTGAGCAGTAAAACATTTAGCATTTATAATCATCATATTGAAATGCAGAAGATTTCAGTCACATATTTTAGATTTAAATTTAAATCCATTGCCATATTATTGTAATATATTTTATAATAATTCATGAATATGTTTTTTGTGTCTGATGCTAAGAAATTCTCATCCTTCCTATCATGTTTGGATTCCAACCCAATGAAACTATTCTTATTTATATAGGGTGACCCCAAAAAACGAGAACTTTTTAACAATCCAATAAAACCAAGAGTGATGGAAGAAAAATATTTTATTCATAGTAATTGAAACCTTAAAACATGCCATTTAAGAAACAATGATGGAATTTTCATTTTTTAAAAATTACGTCCTGTAGATGGCGTCCTCCTGTACGAATGCATTCTTGAAATCTCCTGTTGAGATTCCTCATTGACTGCTGCAACATCTCAGCTGGGATACTGTGAATTTCATCTTGAATTCTAAATGGCGAAATGTTTACTTGCTCAAGGTCACTGTCTTGCAGTGTTGCCACTTGCTCATGTCTGGCAATACGCACTTCAAAAATTCCCATTTTTTGGGGTCACCCTGTACATCAATCAAATGTCTGTCTTATAATTTTTTTTTCTCAAAGCTTGCCTTGTAATGGTAATAAGTTATTTCTGGCATTTATTAACTGAGCTGCTACTTAGGGTTGACATTTATAAAACTGTTCTATTAAAACAGTTTTTTTTAGGAAAATAGGTTTCTCAGCTCGACTATTATCACACTTTCCATTATTGATGGGGGCTTCCTTCTTAACAAAATTGGTTTGGAATAGTGTGGAACATAAACGTCTTGATTATGTCATTATTTTCTCTTTGAGTTACATGTGATATCCATTTTAACTGTTGCTGTTGAAAGTTCTCAAGTGATGTGGGTTCTGTTATTTGGTACAGTTCTTTGTGATTCTTTAAGGCTAATCAAGGAGGTTCAAAGAAGGATGGTCCTTGCTAAGACCTACAGGGTTCATTCACTCAAAACAATTTTTAACCATTGATCTGAGAAAGTCATTATATACAGCTGACAGTTTGGATATTTCCAAATGGGTTTCGTGTCCTGTTTGACATCCATATGAAAATCTCAGTCTGATGAGGCTATTTAAGAAGGTGACTCAAGTTTTTAGGTATAGCTTTAATTTTGTAGCAGTTTGTGATTTTGAATTAAACCACTCTTAATACAGATGTTCAATTTCCTGACAGGCATTTATATACGGGACTATAAACATATATTGGCTTATATAGTTTACCCTCATCCTCATGCTATTAGACTCTCCTGTGAAAAATAGATGCAACCTCACCACACCAGGTGTAGCTGCTGTAGTTTCCGTAACAAATAGGTTTTTATGGGGTAGAGTTACTAGCTCCATGACTAAGTAGTTTTAAATTCAGTTGTCTTTCTCTTAGATTTGTGACTAACCAAGGCTAGAAGAACCAGTCTGTCCTGTTATTTAACCCACAGCTATGGGGAGAAGAGATGGAGTGATATCTTTCCAAACAGTATTTGTGCACAAGTGAATGCTTGCCAATTCCATTTTCTGTGTTGATAACTGCTACTCTACAGGCACATTCAATATAGTTTCTAAGAAACTTAAAAAGCCAATATGTTTTATATAGTTTGAAAAGGGATAAGTTTAAATACTGCTGCTTGAGTCAAAGCCAAATTTGACCCTTCAATATTTGCACTTTTCGGAATTTTTTTTAACATAAAGTATGTTGGGAGACAATTATTGTGAACTGAAGTGAATGTCTTCTTTGTTTTTTATTTTTGTTTCTCTTTATTTTTGTACTGTAGGCAGCTGCTTTTGAGTGTATAATACTGGGTTGGAAATATATCTTTTCCCAGAAATTTAATTTCTAAGGCATATATGTGTTGGAGTTCATCTAACCAGGTTTTCGTTGCTATCTGAGTGTCAGGATTCCAAACATTTAACAACAACAACAATACATCTTTTAAATGAAACATAAAAAAAAGGGTTATTTGCTGAAGTAAAGTAGAAGCAAAACATCAGCTGAAATAACCTACATATATTATTTTCCGAAATATGCATAGCAGTAAAATGTTCAGTTTTCCTAGCAGTAAAATATTCTTTCATAAGTTGAGTGTTCATAGTGCTATGTGAAATGTGTGGACAGATTTACTTTATGATAGTCAGCCTAATGTGTTTGGAAGTTGGTAGACAGTCTTAATTGGCAGCTGCTGGCTCATCTCTTCCATTGGGTGCATATATACACACATGTAGATCAAACAGGCATCTGAAATTTTGAACCTCAAGAAGCAGCATGCTCCTATTTTTATATCTGTAAGGGAGATCCAAAATCTAATTTCACATAGAGATGTGAACTTTATGAATACAAGGTTTTTCTTTCATTAGAAAATAATTTCACACCGGCTTGTGAAAATCTTTTTCTAGAATTTACAGGAATAGTGAAAGGAGAAAAATAACATGTGGTAGGGATACAACTACATCTGCAAGTATTTTGGCATTATTTACCCTAGTAATTATTGTTTGATGTTAATATCAGCATCATACTAATGTTCATTGTAAATGAATGTTTACTTATTTATTAGTTTCCATGAAGAATAATTTTCACTCTTTCTTAATTTTTTTTTTTTTCTAATAAAATCTTCTTTTTTTTTCTTTCTTTTTCTCAGGGATCCAGTCCTGAGAAATTAGTGTCAGGATCCGATGATTTTACTCTGTACATGTGGCAGCCAGAAGTCGACTCAAAGCCGATCAACAGAATGACAGGTCACCAGCAGTTGATCAACCAGGTGTGCTTCTCACCAGACGCTCGGACAATTGCCAGCTGTTCCTTTGACAAATCGGTCAAGTTATGGGATGGCAAGACAGGAAAGTAAGTGACACAGGTCCACTTTGTAAATAGATTTATTTTGTCTGCCATCTTGTGCAATTACTGAGTCCTTTCAATCACAAATCAAACACTCTAAAAGTCTCTGACCAGTCTTGTGTTGTTACAAGTTCTAAGGGCAAGTTCAGTCATCATTCAGTTAATTTTTTTTAACCTGCAAAGGTTGGGGATATTAAGATGAAGAAATTACAGAATAATGACAATATTTAACATAAAAATTTCCGAAAACACAACTAAGATGGACTAATGCAAATCATATACCAGAAAGTGGAGGTAATGGTTGAAATAATCTATGAAATTATAAAAATATTTAATCTTAGAACTTGAGATGGGATCACTTCGACTGATGCATTCATAATTAATAAGGAAAACATTTTCAGCAAATAATTCTTGTAGATTAGCATTCATTAGACTTAAGCCACAATGTCTGTTAGAATTGAACAATATTAATTTTTTTTTTTTTTTATCAATGTAGGTTTTTTTTGGGTTTTTTTTTTTCATTTCACCCCAGACAAGGCAGTAAAGCCACTAAGACACAAGGTATTACTGAGTCTGGAAGGATAAGAAAAAGAGAAACATTAAGAAGCGAGAACAATAAAAAGAAGATGAAATTAGACAGTGGATAATGATTGACATTGCATTTAAATTTTTGAAGATTAAAGTTGGCCGGAAAGCATGAAGCAGGGAGGGAGCTCCACAGTCAAGAAGTGTGAGAGAAGAAACTGTTAGCATAGAACTTATGGTTGCATATATCCATTTCATCTGTAAACAGATGAGACCTAAAGTCCAGGTACCATAGCAGAAAGTTCATCATAACAATTACCATGGAAGTATTTATAGAGGGAAGCTACATTACAGTGGCAGGAAAAGTCACTGAAACCGAGATGATATTGCAAACTTTTTGGATTTTATCAGCAATCTCTGAATATAATATATAGCAGGAGCATCAAACATGTGGCAACAATATTCGAAGCATGGACAAATGTAGACTTAAAAATATTTAAGATAGATTCCAGAGAGAAAGATTATCTAGCACGATGCAATGACCCAACTTTCTTAGCAGCAGACGTAGCAATTGATTCAATATAATCTTTCCGCTGTTAGCCCAAGATGGCACAACAGTCACTCCTCTGGAGGTTAGCATTAGCCATGCTGATGAAAGGCAGAAATGAGTCTCTCAGATGATTAATAGAGAGCAGTTTCATTTTGGAGGCATTAAAATTAACCAGCATTCTTTGTCCCAATTAACAGCAGATTGGAGGTCATTTTTGAGATCAGCTGCCAATTTGACCTTATCAACCCAATCAAGGTTCTCTTTATAATATTGATACAGTGTAAAATCAATTCTTGAATTTTTATAAAGTTATTGGACTTAGTTGTTATTTACAAATACCAAGTTTGAAACAATGCTTATATTATTGCTATATATATATATATATATATATATATTTTAATTTTCTGAAATTTTTAAACTTTTTTTTTTCTGGGCATGGGACTTTTCTGGGGGCATATGCACAAACATTACAGATTAAAAATTATTTTAAGGGAAAAAAAAGCCTATTTTTATATGTAGAACAACTAAGTCCACATAACACTGCAAAAAGTCAGGGATCGATTTTACACATATGAACAGGTCACCTTTCTAAATTGATAAAAAAAAAAAATAGAAATCATTAATTCTTAATTCTGACAAATGGTTGGCCTTGAGGAAGAACTAAAGAATACTCATCTGAAAAAGTTTTTCCTTATTTTTTATGAGTGGACCAGTCTATTTAACTAGTGCCCTTGAGATGATGCTAAGATTAAATGGGGGTGGTTAGGCTTAATAAAACTTTGAAAAATTAAGAGACCTCCCTGTCACCCACCCTATACATTAGTTGAATCTCTCTCCCTTTCCGTTGATGAAATTGTGGTAATACTTCACCTTAGAGTTTGAGTCAATGCAGGAGAATATTCTTGCCTCTTGATTAAAAAGGGCTGGGTGTATGTCTAATAAAATTTTGAAATTTAAGAGAAAAGCTCTGCAATTTATTTGAATCTCCCACACAGATTTATTAAAATCCCATTGCAGCAGACAATGTATGTTATGTAAAATGAATGCTTATTGATTGTTCTCCCAGATGGGCCCCTCCCCCACTATTTTAAAATTATTTTTCAATCTTTGAAAATTGTTCTGCCAATTTTTGCCCCCACCTCCCACCATTTATTAAATTTCTGGAAATTGAAAGATCTTTCCCCAATTATTTGAAACGCAAGAGTAAATCAGCCAAAATATAGTAATTGAAACAAAGAAGTGAATCTTCAGGATCATGGCTCTCCACAACTTTCTACCCTTTGTAGCTCTTAATAAGCTTTGTCCTTTTACCATCCCTCCTAATCCTTGCCATCTGTTTACACACACACTCATTAGGGAAGTTACTCACTGATTTCTGCAATCTCTCTTCTGTTCAATATGTCTTGTGAGTGTCAAATTCTCCAAGCCATCTATTCATCATTATGCATCCCAAAAATTCTGTCTCTTGGATTTTATAAAAATCCTTTTTGGTTCTATTTTCCTTAGAAATTCCTCATTGCACACATGTTCAGTCCATGGTATTCTCAGCATCCTTCAAAAGCATTTTTTTTTTCTATTCCACTGCTCCTTTGGATTCCTGTTTCAAATTTTCCGTCAGAAAACAGTTTCCAGATATTTAAACTTCTGTTCTTGGGAAGTGTTTTAACAGATGACGGAAAATGTGACATCTGTGTTTTTTACAGACGTTAAAACTCTGTTCAAGTACAGATAGATATAAAAGATACATATGTATATAGTATAAAGATGGCTGTAACTTACATGTGTAAATGATTATTTGTTTTTTTTTTTTTTTTTTTTTTTACTTGAAATATACACATTTCTAGGTCATCAATAATAATAATAATAACATATTTATTAAAAGGTTCATAACAACATTACGCGGTCATGTGTCTCGAGTCTACCAAGTGGCCTGGTCAGCTGATAGCCGCCTTCTCTGTAGTAGCAGTGCTGATTCCACACTCAAACTCTGGGACATGCAAACAAAGAAACTCTTATTCGACCTCCCTGGACATGCCGATGAAGTAAGTTTTCTCATCTTTTAATATCGCTAACTGTCCCATGAACAATTCCACCGACCTTTTTTTCTTTTTGTCAGGTTGAAATTGATTTTATTATCACTTCTTGATCAGATATCTGTTGACCTTCTAAATAGGTAGTCTCCAATAAGGCTTGAATTTGCATCCTATATTCCAAGAGCTTGTCTTTCATAGATGATACCATAATATGTCCAGCCACAAGCCTTTTGACGGACAAGGAAGAAGTCTCAATAGAGCACCACCTCTGTACTGCAAATTTTCATTATTATTTTTTTAGTGGTAAAGCATGTTGATCAATCTGTCTTCATTTTGTTTCGTTGTATTTTTCAGTCACAACTATCATTATTAAATACTCTATAGCTGGTGAGGTCACCATCTTGAATCTGTTTTAATATAAGGCTTTTGCTTGAAAGATGCTTAATCAATTTGGCTTGTCAGTGGTGCTTAGAATATGGTGACTGCATTCCCTGTAAAAGACTTCCTCCATCAAATGGGACTACCTTTCAGGTGGATGCTTGCCATCTCAACTGTAAATGGAGAGGTCACCATCTTGAATCTGTTTTAATATAAGACTTTTGTTCAGAAGGTCCTTAATCAATTTGTCTTGTCAGCAGAGATGAGAATATGCTGAAGAAAGTTCAGACTGTGGACAAGATTAAGGAGAATGCAATAAGGTAGGTGATAATGATGAAAAATGACTTTGTAGACTATTTTGAAAAGTGAGAATGACTCTTGGGTAAGTATGTGACATTTAAAAGGAATATTTTGAATGCGGCTAAGACCTCAGTATCTTTGTTCTGCTGCTTTTCAGTCAATATTATAGGAATGAAGATGTGAGTGAGTAGCAAGTAGAATCAACAGTCTGGGTTAAAATTTCAGCTGAAACTGTTTGTGTTTACTTCACACTTGGGAAAAGTATGAATCCATCTCTTTTCCAAACTCCCACAGCTATGGATTAAATAACAAGGCTGACTGGGTTCACAAGACTTGGTTGTTAACCACTTGAGGAGAAGGAAAACTCTGCAATAAATATCTTTTCTTTTTTAATTAATTCACCACAACTAAGGCACTAATGCCACTAAGATGAAAAGGGAGTAAAAGAAAATGAGAAGACTTTAGAAGGAACTGGAAACCCAATCCTAGACGTAAAACAGGCGATAAGCCTTTACTACTGTTCAAAAGACAGGTAAGGTATGGTAACTGGATGATAGGCAAACCTATCTACTCCTAATTTAATAACAATGAATAAAATTTCAGAATTTAGGCTGAGATGTTAGAAGTATAGACTTGAAGTAGATTTTAGAAGGAACTGGAAACTCAATCCTAAGCAGAAAACAAGGGGTAAAGCTCAACTTTTGTTCAAAAGCCTAGAAAGAAGGGTAAACCAGATGATAGATGAATTTATCTTAAGAAAAGTTATAGCAATGCATAGTTTTTTGGTTTTTTTAATCATTTTACCGCAAACAAGACGATAATGCCACTGAGGCAGAAGGAGTTACTGTGAGTGAAAGAGAATGAGAAAGGACAATAAAAAAACAGGATTCAAGCAGGCAGAAAATTGCAATTGATGTTGCATTTAAATTTTTGAGGATTGTAAGTGACAGGGAATCAACACCAGGCAAGTTTGCAATTATTAAAGAAATGAAGATTGTGAAGAGTGATAATCCATGATGTCTTCAAGAGACATGTTATTTAAATACAGATTAAATAGCTTGGACCTTGTACAAATGTTTGCTATAGTATAAGGAATAGCCTGCTCATCTCAAAGGCCATTCATGAGCTTGATCCATATTAGATGCTCAACTATTGTGCCAGGTGATAAAAATGAATAAATATTATCAAATTATATCTGATGCCTACAGGTTTCCAGTCTATTTTTTACCATCATTCTTAAACTACCCTGAAATCAAAATGTATCTTTTTTTTTTTTTTAATCTTTGTTATTATTTATAAATCACCTTGAATAATTTTACAATGAAATGTTCTTATTAATTAGTTTCCATACTCAAAGTAACTTCTATCGTATTTCAACTTAAGAATTGTACTCTCTGCCTTCATTTTGTACAGGTTGGCTCAAAAAAATGTATACACATTTTGAGGCTTTCTCAAGAAATAACCCACCAAATCGAACCGACTGTATCTAATTCAAATAATGTATATGAAGACATTATTTATCATCAACTAGCAGCATGGCCCGGCGTTGCCTGTGCTTGATTCAAAAATCGTACGACTCATACAGCAATCGCTATCACTTGACTTAAAATATTTTTGCCCTTCCTTGCCTTTAAAGGAGTGTCCTTTGCTGTGCTGACGTTGCTACATGCCTTACTTCTTGCCTATCTCACACTGCGAATTTTTTCTAAGCTCTATACTAAACATTAAATCTGTTACGAAAAAAGAACTAAACAAAATGAACACAAAACGATCAGCTTTAAAAAAGGACTCGTAACTGGAAAAAGCGAATGAAAAAAGAATGTTAACAACAAAGACTTTTTCACACTCAACCCAGTTCTGCGGAATCAGAATCAACATTGAATTTAAGCAAGCGAATGAGCCAGATGGAGTAAAGTGCCATGCAGATTTAAATTTTTCCCACTTGTGACGAATGCAGCTATCAAATTTTTTTGCATGCTAGTTAACATTCGTGTCAGTCAGCTGTTGGCTCTCACACTGGCCAATAGAATCTTCCTGCCTATTCGTGGCCGCCAGCTATTGGCTCTCACTCTGGCTAGTACAAAATGGCTGCAAACTACATGAAAACTGCCGTAGAAGCATGATTATTTCCACTATCGATGGGAGTTGGAAAATGCAAAGTTGGTCTTGGCCTTTCCACTAACTTGGAGCATGTGCATGTAAATTTTGGTGCAAATCCATCGAAAATTGCAGCCATGTATTCGTTACACACACACACATATCCTGCCTTTTATTTATATATATATATATGTGTGTGTGTGTGTGTGTGTATATATATATATACACTGCGTGCCAAATTATTATCGAGATAACTTTTTTTCTAATATTTCAAAAACCGTCTAATCAATTCACACAATGTTGGCAACACTGAACTGAAATTTTTGTATTGATCTGCGCAATGTAAACAAACTGGAACCATATTTGTTATCAGCACGGTGATTTGAGCATGCCAAATTATTAGAAAGGTTTAGTAAAATTCCCAACTTATCTTTCAGTCAAGTTGATATTTTCACACAAAGTTCTGATTCGCCGAAGCGAGAGTTCTTATGCTAAAACAACATTTTGGCTGGCCGGCAATTTTCCTGGATTTCATTTCTTTCACAATCATTCGAGGGTCCACAGCATTTCGTACAGGCGTTTCGTTGGGTTGATTTGGTTTCATAGCAGTCCTTTCACTCCTAGTCGACAGACTTTGCTGTCTTCTTCATTTCGGTGGGCAGTCTGACGATTTTGCCCAGCGACGTTCAACTGCCGCTGGTCAGAGGGAAACTGAAAATCCTTTTTTAGATTTTCGCTGTCCCCAAAGACAGTCACATGGGTTCCCTTCGTCCTTGATCGGGTACACAGGAGGATGGGGCGCAAATCACGCAGTGCTTGAGTGATGGCCAAAAGTTCAATACATGCTTAGTATGTTCTGATCACATGAATCGCAGCAGGAGATCCTGATGGTGCCTGGAATTCACACATGGTCAAATGCCTGATAGCTGCGAAATCTTGGAACCAGGTCATTTTTGCGTCGGGTCACTTCAAAGTTCACGGGCCCTTGGCTTATGGGTGGAAGAGTAGATAAAGAGGGAAAGAATTTATGAAGAGAAGAGGAGTGTATGGAACATATTCACTCGCAAGTCGAAAGCATTGGATTAAATTTCTATTTGTATTTATTTATTTTTCTTTTATATCTAACTAATTTTCGACTAGAATTTAAGATTTTACTTTGGGGTGCTTTTTAGCCTAACGTCTATGTGGTTAATGAAATCGGGGCTGCGTCACAATATATATATTTAACAGTGCTCATATTGCTCCCATCCTATCCCACCAGATGGTGAGCTTGGACGTGGTGAGTTTGTTCACCAAGGTACCCACAGAGGAGGCACTCTCAGTAGTCAGAGACGGATTGGGCTCTGACTCTTCACTAGAAGAATGGACCAGTATTCCAATAGATAATCTGATGGAGATGTTGACTTTCTGTACACAAACAACACACTTTGGAATGGGATCACACATATATCGACAGGATGAGGGCTTAGCAATGTGTTCGCCATTATCACCAGCAATGGCGAATATATACATGGAATACTTTGAGGAAATGGCATTAAAATCTATATCTCTAAAGCCAACTATATGGTTAAGGTATGTAGATGATACCTTCATACTCTGGCCACACCAGGAAGATGTTCAGGCTCAAGTGGACCATGGGAACTCAATAAGACCTTAGATACAGTTCACAATAGAGAAAGAGAGTAACAACACACTCTCATTCCTAGATGTTCTAATATCTCGAACAGAGCATGGGTTTAAGACATCCGTATACAGTAAATCAACATTCACCGGACAGTACCTCAATTTCAACTCCCACCATCCATACAGCGTAAAGAAAGGGATCGTCTGTTGCTTACAACACCGAGCAAAAGTCATAAGTGGCGACCCAAAGATGTTAGATAAAGAATTGGTCAGTATAAGTAGTACCCTACAACGTAACAACTACCCTGGGTACATGGCAGCAGCCCCCCAAAACTGGGATAGGTGGTTACAAGAGGAGGAGGACAACAACACTCAGAAAACAGTCTGCCTGCCTTATGTGAAGGGGTTATCAGAGAAAATACAAAGGATCTGCGGTCCATATAACATTAGGACAACCTTCAAAAGCTTGACGACACTTCGCAGATATCTCTCCCGAGTAAGACCCCCCCATAGAGGAGAACATGACTAAAGACTGTGTGTACTCTATCCCATGCAGCTGCGGAAAAGAATATAAAGGAGAGACAGTCCGCCCCCTCAAGGTAAGGCTTCAATAACACCAGAAAGCTGTAACATGAGGGGTAGTAGAAAAATCAGGTGTGGCTGACCACATATGGAGAGAGAAGGGAGATTACTGCCCTCTATGGGATCATGTTGAGATCAAGGAACACCATTGGAAAATTTGTAAACTTAAAGAATCAGCACATATGCTAGGCCACAAAAATCTCCTGAGCCAACCAAGCATAGAAATAAATACAATATGGGAACCAGTAATAAGGAGTGCCAGAGAAAAGCAATGATAACAATAAAGTTGCAATATGAGCTCTGGTAAAAACATGCAATGATAACAGCAAAATTGCAATATGAGCACTGGTAAAAATGGTTGCTGAAGACATTAGGTTAATACCCAGAAATTCATACCCAGATGTTCTCAAGGACACATGACACAGTGGATAAAGGCGTTGGTTAGATCCAGTGACAGAACCCAAAGAGTGTGAGTTCAATACCCGGTTAAGGCAGTGGAGAACTTTCAGAGGGAAAATTAACAGGAGATAACTGACAACTGACATCCATTAAACATGGCACGTGGAACTAGAACAGTCTACCCCAGTGAGCGAAATAAAGGGTTCAGTTCGACATTCCAACCATTCCAGAAGAAGGCTGGAGCGTGCAACAGCCGAAACGTTGTGATAAATATGGCAACAAAGATGAGGACAATAGTCCGAATAATATAAATAATGTATATGTATGTATGTGTGTATATATATATGTATATATATATACACACACACACACACATACATATATATATATATATATATATATATATATATATATATATATATATGTATGTATATAGATAGATATTAATATTTAATACTAGCAGTAGAGCCTGGCGTTGCCCGGGGATGTAACAGTAAGAGATAGATCAAGTATCGACCATCATAATGACTGAAAAATAAAATTGTAAAAGATTATTGTTTAAGGTTGACGGACACGCATGTCTTAATTAGTTTTTGTTTTTTTTACGAATTGGTCAAACCCAAACAAAAACATTGTTTTCAATCGTTATGAGTCTACCGACTGAATAGACTTTTATTATAAACAATTGTCTTGTAAATGGAATTTTTAAAGCATTCTGAATGTAAAAATAAAGTAAAAAGTGTGCAAGACAATAAGAAACACTACATGCCAAAAAAAAAAGTGAAGTTTTGTTGAAATCGGTTGAAAAATGTAGGAAATCTAATCCCATATATAAACGAACACACACACACACAAACAAACAACTTGGGTTTTATAATAAGTATAACTTGATATGAGTTGTCCCCCTTTCATTCTGGCAACAGAATCGTGTTTTCAAAATGATTTCATGCAAAAACAATTGTTTTCACAATTTTTGGCGCTGTCAGAACCACTGCAGGGTAATTTTATGTAGTCCTGTGAAGTTTTGTTGAAATCGGTTGAAAAATTTAGGAAATCCGATCCAATATATAAACGTACAGACAGACACACACACACACACACACACACACACACACACACACACACAATCTGCGTTTTATAATAAGTAAGATTTTATCATCACATTTTCAAATTGATGTCCGTTATGATCCAGACATTGCTGACAACACAAGCAGTAATCAACATTTCAATAGGTTTCTTGGACTTCCTTAAAAATGTTCCATCAACTTCTCTCTTGCTTTTCCATGCTTGTCTTTTGGAGTAGTTCTTGAACACATTACATCCAGTACCATCAGCTTAAAACTTATCTCTAATTCATAAAATTGTAAATCTCATGGGTGAATCTAAATGTAACTCTTTTCAATATTGCCTTTGAACTTCAACTGCATTCTTGTACTTCCAGTAGCATTTCAGGATGAATGTTTTTTTTTTTGTTTAAAGCTAAGCCTGGATGACATTAGTAATACCAATACGTATATCTGAAATGAAAGCAAGACTTGATCTATACACTGATTTTCTTTTTAGACACCCTGTATATAAAGAATATTAGCACATTGCAAGTATTCACAGTTAAAAGTTTTTTAAAAGATTTTAATTTGCAATTAATTGCCTTGTGTCGTGACTAAATTTTCTATGGCTTACAGCCACATCACATTGAAACACTGATTTCCATAATCGCCAAAGTTAAGCAACACTGAGTTTGGTCAGTACCTCGATGGGTGACTTCATGGGAATACCAGGTGCTGTAAGCTTGTACGTGGTGTAACTGGTAATGGCTCAGAATTGTTAATCAAAGAGCTGAGTTCCAATTCCACTTGGGTTCATTATATTCACATAACATTGGGGAAGGTATGAATCGACCGTTTCCCCCCCCCACCTGCTATGAATTAGTAAGACTTGTATCACTAAAATAATTATTATTTCCAAAACAAAAAAAAATGAAATTGAGTACAAAATATTTAGATTTTGGCATTAAATAACCCATAGAGGTGTTGATATGCTGCTAAACAAAAACAACCAAGCAAGCAATTCCCATTCGTTTTGTTGTATCTACCAAATATATATTTGCCCAAATACCCCTGGTAAAGGTATGAATCCACCTCTTCTGCCCCCAGCTATGAGTTAATGAGTAAGACTTATATCAATAAACCATTATTATTTAAAAAAAAAGAAAAACAGTTACAATCTAAAAATATTTTCTGACTTAAAATAACCCACAAAGGGTTGATAAGTCATAAAAAATTAATCAATCAATAAATTTTCCAGGCTTGTCTATTATTTTTAGCATTGATAGCTCTTGTATTTTCAATTTACTTTAAGATAAGCAAAAAACAATGCATAAATGTTACTCATACGGTTCAAGTTTTTAACCAAAAATTGACGAAAAATAATTTTATTTTTTTGCTTTTTTTATTAAACGAAAATTAGTTCTTCAAATTAGATCCTAACATTTTTCATATCTAGAGATAAATAATACAGGTATCTAAATTTAAGTCCTTCTACTTTCGTTATTTCATTTGGGTTTCATTCATCAGTTTAAAAAGTGATTTGGTTTATGTATGTATGTATGTATGTATCTGTGTGTGTGTGTGTGAGAGAGTTCCATTTATTAAAATTTTGCCACTATTGTTGAGAAGTAAAAATGTTTTTGTTTTTTTTTATTGTAGGAAATTAGTCGCTTTTAGAATAGATACAATAATCTTAATTAAAATTTTGTTATTATGCCATCATCATCCATAAAAGCCTAACCAACTGTCCCAAACGAATGTCTTATATATCCCTGGACCAACATTAATCTCATCTCCTGTACTTACCTACCTATTCCATACTTTTTTTATCAGTATTTTTTTCATCCTTTGGAAAATCTTAAAGCAGTGCTGACTTTTAAGCTTCAATCAATATTTAATCAAACAGCTGTTTTCTTTTTCTTTTCCCTTCTTCCAGGTAAGATTTTTTTTTTCCTGTATTGATCATTAGTCATTTGTTGAAACATTTTTAATTCCTTTCTCCAGGTTTATGCACTTGATTGGAGCCCAGATGGACAAAGAGTTGCCAGTGGCGGAAAGGATAAAGTATTAAAGATGTAAGTAATGTTTCTTTTGGTTCTTGGTTTATAAATTGTTATTTCACAAAAATGCTCAAGTCTTGAGGAATCCGATACACAATGTTCTTGATTATTTGCAATTGTTATTATCATGATTTTTATTTGTGAATAAAAAGTCCGCACTGCATCTTATGTGAAAAGCTACTGAAATTGCATCACATATCAACCATTTGGTTGTAGACCAACTCCAGTTTTTACAGTTCTGTGTTAGATTCAGCCATTTGGAACTCTTCAGGCCTATGAACCTTTAGGAAAGAAATAGTTCATGAAAGCATGAAACTTTTTGAGAATTTAACTCCAGTAATAATGTTTAATCACATGAAACCTGTTTTGATTCAACATGTTACACCTCAGATATTTTTATGCAACACTAACACTCTTTTCAAAAAAGGGGTAAAATTTTAAAAAAGAAAACTTTTTCCCATTTTCATAAATTCCTATAGAATTCTGGCTAAAGAGAAGATAACTGGATTATTATCCTCAAAATCTCTTACAATATCTTATACATTCAATCCAAATGTTATTACTTTCTGAACAGTCTAAAACCCACATTCCATTTTTTTGTGTGTACCTGCATGCCCACACAGATACATGGTGAGGTGCTGAAAAAGTTCTTAACGTAGCCAAATAGAGATTGTAAAACTTTTTTTTTTCTTATATATAATAATTTCATCCCCAAGCAAGGTGATAATGCCACTAAGACAGATGAGAGTTACACAGGTAAGTAGTACTACTGTGGTGAACAGCCCCGTAGAAGCAAGCGAGCCAGAGTGGCTTGCATCTGGTGTATAGGAAAATAAGGGTCTTACCTTAACATGCGGCACGTGACATCAGCAAGTTTGCTTCTTGAAAATGGCATTACTCTCCCGTCCAGCCATTCTAGCAGTATGTGCAATGATGAGGGTTTTTTTGTACAGTTTGGAATGCTTCCACCAATAGCAAGTTGTATGCTGATTGGTCGAACTGGAGGAGGCAATTTGCCTGTGTAACCGAGAATAACAGCGAAGGACGCTGATTGGCTGGGGAACTGCGGTGTTGGCCTGATAAAAGAGTGCTGGAGCCGTGAAAAAGGGGACTGAAACGTTGGCTATACGTAGTGACATGTGAAGAAAGCGAGGACGGTGAATTGAACCAGCGATATTGTGATTTGTACAAGTGACTGCTGGGAGAGCAATAGACTTATTTAATCTACAACTACAAATGAAACTATTAGAATAGAACTTAAGGCTGCATCTAGCTATTTTTGGAACTTTAGTCAAATTTATAGAAAGAGGAATCAACTAAGAACTCTCCAGCATCCTCTTAAATATCTATTTCTTTTCATTTTTGGAATGTGTTCATATTTTCTCTTGATGGATTTTCTGTTTGAACTATTGAGCACTGTTTTCAATGAGCTTACTAACGGTTTTTTGGGTTACATTTTTACTGCTCAAGCCTAGTTTGTTTTTGATTGTTTTTTGTTTTTTTTTGGTTTTTGGTTTTTTTTTTGGAGGGGGGGTTGTTTTTTGTTTCTTTGTTTTTTTTTTTTTTTGTTTCTTTGTTTTGTTGTTTTTTTTGTTTTTTTTTACACAGTTTCCAGAATGAGAACTTGTAATTTTTAAACAAAATCTGTTGCAATTCACTACCCACTGGTAAAATTTAGTTCCCTGTCTAAAACGTGACTAATTTTTAGTGTCCTTTTTTTTATTGCCAGCAACTTGCCTCATCCCACCTGACATTAGTTCATTCCTAGTTACTTCAAAATGGCGTCTTATAATCAACATCAAATGTGATGATGATGATAACATATCGTTGTTGCTGTTTTTATTGCTAAATTTACCGGCTCTCTTCCAGCAGGTGTTCTAGTGCATGTATTCTTGTTGTGGACCATAGATTTCTTTCTGTCCTCCTAAGAGAATTAATTTACCAATTTTTTTTTAACTAAAAGTATATATATATATATATATATATATATATATATATATATATAAAGTGTGACAGCAAAATTGTCCAAATCATGTAAAGCAAAATTGGCCATTTATTAGATTAAGCTTTGTATCTTAGAAATGATTAAAGATATCTTACTGGAATTCACTGAAGTTTTTTTAACACTACTGGACTCTACTTTGAGCAATAAGAATGTATAATTACTCTTCAAGTTTAACAGAAGAATCATGATGAAATCAATCATAAACAAAATGACATGTTCATCATTAATTATAGCTAAGGGTTGGTAGATCATGAAGAGTTGATATAAAGTTCATATATATATATATATATATATATATATATATAATTCAGGATCATTTACCTACTTACTGAAAATGATCTTCACCCTCTCTAACCTTCTAACTTTCTGTCCTGGAGTAACAAGGTGCCACAAATGTTTCATGTACATTTTCATTTTCAAGTCTTTTTTTCACTGCTCTTTGGACTCACATAGCTGAAACTCCTCTCTCCTGTGACAAACTTACGGATTGAGTTGGATCTTTTCTAATTGATCCCTTTAGCTCTAAGTTGAAATGATGATCCCCCTTCCTTTTGTAACCTCCTGGTCCAGTTTTCCTCTCTACTGTTCCCTCATTTTTAAACTTATTCACCGTTCTCTTGATGGTTCTTGAATGAACTTTGATGATAAAAGCCAGAGTATGAATGTTGGTAGCATTACTGAAGGCCCGAATGTTCATTTTCCTCTCACAATTGCTCATTTGAGAAGACAGTGGGACAGACCAAATAATTTTAATCTGTTCTCTTTCTAGCTGAATAACTCAAAGGGTGGTGAGCTGGCAAAATGTCTTATCTGAAAAGCCGGGAAAAAAAAACTCAATTAATTTAGTGATTTTTTTTTAGATACTAAACATTTTGTGGGATGAAGAATTATGCTGTAACACTATTTGGACAATTTTGCTGTTACACCCAGTAAATATATATATATATATATATATATATATATATATTATAAATTAATTGATTTAAAATGTTTTTTCGCTACACAGTTCTAACCATGTTTCAAAAATGGAGGCTGAAAGGTCCGAATTTAATTTTGTAATTAAATTAAAGACATTAGTTTCATTTCATTCTCAAGCGCTTGAGAATGAAATGGAACTAATGTCTTTAATTTAATTACAAAATTAATTTCGAAGCTTTTAGCTCCCATTTTTGAAACATGGTTAGAACTGTGTAGCAAAAAAAACATATTTTAAATCAATTAATTTATAATAGTAATGCTCTGTAAATTTACATTGAGCACTATTTTGTAAAAATAAAAATATATATATAAGAACACCGGATTATATATCTTACTGTTCTTATTTTTTATTTATATATATATACATATATATACTTTATTTTGATATATTTTTTTTTAAATAAATACTAAAGAACTGTGGATTATTAATATGATTGTTCTTCCTTTATTCTCATAGTAAGACAGTATATGTATGGAGGGGGAATATATGCACACATATATATACGCATGCTGACAAAAACACGAAAATGGAAACAGATCTAAGAACACACAGGGGTCATTAAAACATTAAAAGATAAAATGCCGATAAGTAATTCATCATTTCGCTTGGACCAACCTCAATTGTTTTATGACCCTTCGCACAGAACTCTTCATTGCCAATTCAAGAAAGACATTTGGGTTACAAACACAAAAACAGAGAATGTCTCATATCGAAAATATTTAACATTGAAAAACATAAGGAAAAAATTAATTATTTTTAATAATATGTGGAAATCTCCACCTTTTGCCTGAAGACAGTTGCGAGACCAGAAACACGTGTAGTAAAATTATGGAAAATAAAGCATAATATTGAAACCAAAAAAAAAATATCCACATTACAACCAAAAACGTTTGCGGCACCTCTTCTTTTTATTATATATATATATATATAGAGAGAGAGAGAGAGAGAGAGAGAATTAATAAAAATATGTAATTTGTTGCTTAGCTGATTGGTGTTACTTTCACTATCCTGACTTTAGAGATTTGTAGACGGACCCTCTAGCAATCTACTCACCATGAATATCAGTGATTGAGTGTTTATTTTCTCATTTTTCTTTTATATATGCACTTTTGCTTAGTGTAAGTTGGATTTTTTTCCTTTCATTGGTTGTGTATGTGCACACACACACACATATATATATATATATATATATATATATATATATATATATATATATATATATATATATCTTTGTACATGTAGAAAGCCATGGTTATTTCTCTTTTTTAGTATTTTTTTTTGTCTCTTTATACTCACCCTATATTGGTTTTTATACTTCCCTCTCTCTTTTAGTTGTAGCAATTTTGACATCACGTTTTTCAGACAGTCATTGTTCTTTTTAATTCTTGTGCGTTCTAGGGCTTTCTTGAGTTTGGAAAATTGTCTTTCAATTTTTTACTTAATTTTTTTTTTTTTTTTTTAAATGTAGAATAAATGAAAAATAAAAAACCAAGGCAACACAGGTTTTATCCTGAAAAAAGAAAGATTTTCAAGACAAGTTCAATCTTTATCTTGTGTAGCTTGTGGTTTATGCCATTAAATATAGAGAACATTTTTTAGTTTTTAAGCCTGTGTATTGAGCACTTTTGATTGCCAGCATGATCACAGTTGAAATTTATCAACTATGATTGTGTTTCATTATATATATATATATATATATATATATAAAAATAAAAGCACAATCCTCCTCCTCACCTTCTACCACACCTCATTCCATGTTCTTATTTATTCCTTTTTAAATATTATAATGTTCATAAAATTAAAAAAAAGAAAAAACATTAGGAAATCAATTGACCAAAATCGCCTGACAATGCCGAAAGGCTGAAACCAAGGTAGCAAAATTGGCTGAACGACTAATATAGGATGAATAATCAAAAAAGAATCTTTTTACCTCATGTGGGGAATAGGCTATTTCAGCAGATGATACAAATGGTCATCTGTCTTTTCAACCCCGATATGGAATGGAATTCACGCCCGTAGAACTAGAGCGAGAAGG